CAGCAATTCCCCAGTGGAATGAATACCAACCCCTTCACAGATGTAAATCTGTTCATCTGCGTTAACTCCACTGTAGCTAAATCACATATAAGATCTGAACATAGACCTGAACACAGCCATGTGAACACAGACATCTGAACACAGACACAGCCATGGTTTTAGCCTATATAGAAGAGACCAGGTCCTGTTACCGATACAAGCAACTTGCTCTAAACACAGCATCACAAGATGTCCCAGAGACCTTTAAAGAGAAATGCCCATTCCTGTGCCTGCCATTGGCCCCAGAAAAGTCTGCCAGCTTCATTTCCACATGGCAGAAGAAATGCTTTGCCTGGGTCCTCTGTGTCTGCAAGCAATGGGGAAGGGTTTGCGCAGAGAGCATCACCTATGTTTTTGAAATGAAGTCATTCCATGAAGTTTTGGGAAACTCTTTAGTCACCTGGAGTCTGATATTATACAAATCCCATCAGAGACTGCTGGTCCTGCTTTTCCTCGTCCTCTCCCTCCACCGCCTTTGTGAGATGCTGCAGATGGGTTGGCTGACTATTGAGAGAGGGGAAGTTTAACGGCTATGCAAACTCTCCTCCTTTTCCTCCTCCTCCCACGATCCTCACCTTTGCAAAAGAAAAGTGTGAGAAATGTTGGATGGCACTCAGAGGGTTTCTGAACTTCCTTCTTTAGGAACAGACTGGTTTGATCTCCACTGAAATAACAGGCAGTACAGGCACCCAAAATGAAAGTCACTCAGGGGAGTTATTTAGATCCCTGTTTCCTACTGTATGGCCTGAGGGATATGAGGAGTTGGGGGCAGAGACAGGGACCACAGCCATCGCTGCTGGCATTCACTGTCGCTCTTGAAACCTACAGGAAGACCCTGAGGTGTGTTGAGCTATGCTCACATGCAGGTCTCCAACAGCTATCTAAACAGATGTTTGCAGGGTCAGGAACTGCCTTTTTGGCTGGGAGATGCCTTTCAGGGGGTGAAGGAAAGTTCATACCCTTCAGCTATAACTCCTGGTTCCTTTTGCTCTTGGTGATGCTGATCCGCAGATTATGAACTCATTTTGCATGAGCAGTTTTGCCTCAAAAAGGGGAGAGAGCTGGAAATATTCCCTCTGCCCTCTAGAAAACTAGAGTTTGATGACATTGGGAAAGCAGCATCTCAAATCCAGAAATACTCCCCCTCCCCTCTCAGTTGGCCCTCATTCAGTAAGTCGCCATCTTTACTGCATTATGCGTGCATCTATTTTCATTCAGCGAGACATAAAAGCATAAATCCCACTGAAGGCAGCTGTCCTTAACACAGTTCTGCTGGCTAGGAGCAGGAGCTCATTTCTTCCTCTCTCCTTAACCACAATTGATTAAGGATATTAAGGGTTTTATTACTTCCTAATATAATCTGGGAATTATTTCCATGTGTTGTGTTATTCTCTGGAGTGGGCAAAGCTCCCCTGTGCCTGCGAAACAGGGTGCAGGATTGCTGAACCCCAATTACACTGTATTTGGTGCTTTATTGGAGAAGAGGGAAGAGGTTGCAGGTGGCCCTTTATAGGAAGATGCATTTCATCCTTAGTTTTCAGATACCTTATAGTATCCTTTCCGCTGGGAAATTAAGCAGACGCTCTCCATATCCAATGCAGCTGCTTCTAGTGTTAAATTAAACTGCTGCTATTACAGTGAGCCGTTGCTGGAGCCGAGTTGTGTTGTTCCTTAATTGTTTATGGCTGTGGATGTGAGCCAAGTAGCAGTCCTGTAGTGGTAAATGCTGGAGATATGACCTGGAAAACAGATGTTTGGGCCAAAGCCAAGGTGGTTTCAGGAAAGACAGTGAGAGAGAAGCAGGAAACCAGTTATCTGTCTGATTTATTGGACAGGGTGAAGAAATTCACCCCAGGGCAGAGTGCTCACAGGAGGCTGGTAGAACAGTAAACTCTGATTTTAGCTAGCTTTTAGCCAGCCTTTGCTGTTGATTTGCTAGTGCTAACGCTACGCGTGCCAAACCTACATGCTTTGCAGCTGGGAAGAAAATTCTCGCCTGTTTGCTGGTGGCTGCAGAACATCTCACGCAATAGACTGGTTTCTGTGAAGCCCCAGCATAAACCTTTTAGATCAGATACAATGCAAGGGATTTTTTGAAATGTCGTGGCTTGAGGAATCTGATCAAAACCAGATCTCTATAGTGGAGGTGCTCTGTGTGAACAGATCATCCCCAGGTATTCCCCTTTGCTCTCAAAAGAGAGGAATGGGTTCCTCACATGCTAACAAAGGGGTCTAAAATGGGTCCACATGATCTGATGTTGCCAGTTTCTCTCTGTTCCTCTCTCAGGAGCTCAGGTAACTGCCTCACATGGAGGCGCAGGTGCTCTGGACATCTAGGATTAAGTGAGATCTGTCCCAAGCTGGTTGAGCTTGAAGGGGACCTCTGGAGGTTGCCTTGTCCAACTCTCTTTCTCAAACAGTGTCACCTGAGGCGAGTTGCCCAGGTCCATGTCCAGAGGGCTTTTGAATATCTCCAAGGATGGGGAGTCCACAGCCTCTTTGGGAAACCTGTTCATGAAGTGCTTGATTGCACAGAGCCAAAGTGAATTATTACACTCCAGGGAAGGGAGGGGGTGTCCAGCCTTAAAGACTAAGAAAAGTTTTAAATGTCACTGTTTACAGGGCAGACCCACAGATGGGGTAGTTTAGCCTGGAGAAGAGGAGTCTGAGGGGAGACCTTATCACTCTCTACAACTACCTGAAAGGAGGTTGTAGAGAGGTGGGGGCTTACCTCTTCTCCCTGATGACAAGTGATAGGATGAGACAAAATGGGTTCAAGTTATGTCAGATGAGGTTTAGACTGGATATTAGGAAAAAAAAATTCACTGAAAGGGTTATTAAACATTGGAATTGGCTGCCCAGGGAGGTGGTGGATTCACTATCTCTGGAGGTGTTTAAAAAAAGGGTAGACGTGGTACTTGGGGACATGGTTTAGAAGTGGTTTTGTCAGGGTAGGTTAATAGTTGGACTTGATGATCTTAAAGGTCCCTTCCAACCTCAGCGATTCTATGATTCTATGATCTGAACAGGTACCTTGTAGTACATCCAACCAGTGATTTTTGGAGCAATGATGTGAGTATTTAGCAGGACAAGCTGCTTTCACAATTTTAACTATGTTGTTAGTACATCGAAATGTGATAAATGCCAGGCTCAAGCTTTTAGCCCTAATTTTGTTTCTTTAGTAATTGAGCCAATAGTGTCACTACATTTTAGTGTTGAGGAGTGATCAAAAAACCTTTAGCTTCCTTTGGCAACACTCATGTTCTTAGATGCTCAACATGTTGACTAGCAATTCTGGCTAGCACCCTGAGTTTTTAAAGGTGAGTTTTGAAAGTCATGGTAAGGGAGTGCTTGCAGCTCTCCCTGCTCTTCCTCCTGCTCCCGTCCATGGAACAGTAGGTTCTTAAAGCCAAGGGTGTGTGAACTGGGGATTTGGAAGAGGATACATAGTCTTCTCTTGCCCAGAAGTCATCAGAATTATTAGTGGAGTATGGCAGAGGCAGAGAGAATACATCTCCATTCACACACAGAGGCATGATGCAGATGTTTTGACTGCTGGCCTTAGTCTTTGGCTCTTGTTAGCTTTCCAGACTGATGCTACATTGCACAGACAGAACTTGAAACTACTTGGATTTCCGTTTCTGCTGCCAAAGACCCTTTGATTTGTTTTTCCTTTTGTCTTTAGACTAAGTACACTTCTTATTTTTTGAAACAAAGGAAATGGCTAAACAGTTGCATCAAACAGAGGGGGGAAATATATACACAGATATTGCTTCCTGTTAAAGAGATTTTTTCCTACTTATTTTGATCAGATTTCTCTGCTTCTGTCAATCCGGGAAGAAATTTTAGCCTTTTTGTGCCAGGGAACACTCATAAACCATTTACTGTAATATTGTGCAGTGCCACAAATGCCCCTCCTTACAGAGCTACCTGTGCTGAAATATCTAGATGAAAGTGGCTTTCCAGAGCAAGTTTACCAGGCTTTTGGCTAATGCGTTTCTGAAACATCATTCAGAGAGATGTTGCCCTCATCCAGAGGAGAACAGGATTGTCCTAATCTCCTGCATCCAGCCCTAGGTGCTGCTTTGCCTTTCCTGCTAGCTTCTGTAAAACTGCAAAAGTGTTGAAGTTTTCCCAGTTGAGGGCAATGCCACATGAGGAGGTCCTTGGACAGTCTTCAGAGGAGGTCTGATAGCTGCTGGTGGCCCATGATCTCTGCATTCCTAGGGGGACACAGTAGACATAAATCACAGGATTTTTTCTCTCTTTCTACCCCATCCTGTCTTCCCAGAAACCTGACGATTTTCTTCTCTTTGAAGCACAGTGTCCAAGAGGGTTTATGAGTCTTTGCTGTTTTCCTGAAAACTCAGCCCGGTTGTTCGCTAGCCTACCCAGGAACTCAAACAGGAAGGAGAATCTTCCTATGCTGTCTGTTGTATAGAATGGTCGTATGTAGGGTAACAAATTTAGGCAAACCTCATGGGAAACCTCACCCTGTCGAAATCTCTGTCAGAGAATAGCTGCAGTTGGCTGCACAGGCCCCCTCTTTGCCAAAGTGTCAGAAAATGTAACAGTGTGAGTGCTCAGTTCTTGTGAATATTCAGTCCAGAATAATTAGTGTTTCAGTCCCTGTGATAACTGTGGCTGTTTGTCTTCATTTTATAAAACAGGAAGAAGGAGAAGATCTCACCATACCCAGGACACAAGCAAAACAACGACCTGCTGTGACTTGGCGGCGCACTAACAAAAAGTTGTTCTGACTTTTACGGTCGCCCTAGACTTTTGCACAGGGGGCTGATGGAAACTCATCACTCCACACTGCTGAGTAAGAGAGAAGACACTCAAGCAAGGGGCTACATCTTGGTTTCTCAAGCTTCCCTCTCTCCCTGATGGTCTTGCCTCCTGTCTCCTTGAACATAGAGTCCAAGTTTTAGTCAGCCCAGCCAGAGGAGCAGTTATCCTCATTCTTTCAGTTGAGAAAATCTTTTCCATGTTGTCCGCAACTGTGATGAAAAAAGAAGCCCCTCTAGCCAGAGACTGAACTTATCTACCAGGAAAATACCATTTACAGGTAAGAAAATGCCATTCCCGGCAATGCATCTGGGTCTTCTTCTGTGTGAAGCCAGAGAAGCTGCCCTTGGTATAGAGCATTTTAGGTGTAAAAAGGAGAAGAGGCTTGGGCTGCATCCCACACCACAAATCATTCAAATTTTTTGCTGTTGTAACTGAACAATATATTGTTGTCAATATATTTGACAGGTAACAGCTGGTGAGAGGACTCATGTCTTTTAACTTCGGTGGTGCAAGACATAGACATCTGCAGCTGGGTTCAAAGTGCCTCTCGCTGCCTGTTGGCTAAAAGGGGAACCAGGAAAGACAAGCTCAGAAGTTGACACAAAAGTCGTGTGGTAAATCCCAGTCCTTGGGCCCAGATGGCACCAGGATGGGCACCACCTACAGCAGTTAGTAATTTCCGGTTTCACTAAATCTCTCTGGAAGCTCTGAAAAAGCCTACAGAGAAGACCAATCCAAAGGCTTTGTTGTGTTTCCTCGCATCTTGATTTTATATGTTTCTGTTTTCAGCTGTTTAAAATTATGTGTGGTTCATATGAGCTGAATTTTCTCTTTATAGCTTCACTTATGAATATGGGTCAGTACCCAGGCAGCTGAATGCCCAAGATCATTTCCATGCTGTGTATAAATAGTACGCAGTTATTTCACAGTTTCATGTTCAGCTTGCAGGCTTCCAGCAGCCTTGTATTCCCGAAACCCTTTCTATTCTCATAGCATTTGGGTTCTTGAACGCGTGACTCAACATAAATTACAGCAGAGGTTATCCCCGCCAAGAAAGTCACGATTTGGCTTCTGTGTATTGTCGTTCTCGTTCCTGACAGCTGGCGTCAAGTCACTAGTAGTCAAAGCTGTTGTTGCGGGTCTTTCCAGCCCTGTGATGAGTTCGGCTATGCGGTTGAGCCCAACAGCTGAGTTACGCTACCTTACGTACTTTAAGCGACACTCGGTCAGTCCATCATCCTGCTAGACAGTGGAGGAAGCCAGAGAGTCTCCAGTTGGATGGATAACTAACGGCCGGCGTACCCCTGTCCAACCGAGATAAGAGGCTGGTTAAAACCAAGGGAATTTTTAGACTCTTCCCAAATATTGCCTGTCTTTTGTTTGACACAGGACTTGTCATGTCTCCCTTTCTACGTATCGGTTTATCCAACTATGACAGTGGCCCCTACCTGCCATCCCAAGGGGAGGTGATTAACCCTTACTGTGCGGTGATGGTTAAAGAAGCCGTGGAGTCAGGTAAGTGGGGAGGTGTTTGATATGCGTGTGAGCTTTTATAAGACGAGTGTGCCTTACTGTGTCGTTTCTGGTGCGTAGGAAGAACATTGGTAAACATTTATAAGGGTTTGTGAAGTGCTTTTTGTGTCTCAGCACAGTGCAAGTCAGGGTTTTGTATGGCTTGCAAGACAACCTGATTTTAAGATTATGCCCAACAAATTTATGTCTTCAGTTTGAGGTTATTATCATCTGAATTACAGGTCCCAGCATGTGACAGTACAGATGAGCTGAGCTGTATTTGGTTTCGTTTTTCTATGAGCAGTTGTTGGTTTGTCAGCAGGACTCCAGACAGATGAAATCTGGGGTGTCCTAGAAATATCCTGGGAGGGCTGTCTTTGGTTATCACATTTTTCTGAGGAACTGGCAGGTCCAGCAACTTCCACCATTTGAAAAAAAAATAGCTCTCAAACAGCTGCAGTCTTTGCAGAGAGAGTTAATTGCTCTGTGTAATTGCTGTACTATGTAAAATGTTTGAAAGTGAAACCTCCTGCTAAGCTGTTTTCTGTGTCTGGATATATGGATTGTTGCACACTTTTCCTGATTGAACAACCTTAATGAGTCCTCATTGGGAAAACATTTCGTATATGTCTTATGCATGAAAATAGTCCCAGTGAGAGGATGAGAAGTTCTTCAGTTCTGCTTTTTGAGAATCGTGAAGACCAAGACCTTCAGTGTTAGGGAATTCCTCATATTGGCTGTTATTTTTCTTAAATCTAACTTGATAAATTCCTAACTTGACTGCTGTGATTCTTTAAAAAATTAATTCAACTCAAAAATCCTTTTTTATATCTTGAGAAACCCTGTTATTCTAACCTCTAAAGGATGTTAAAGAGATTTTAAAAAAAGAAATTTTAGAATTGCAAAACAATTCATTGTTTCACTTTTTGTTTGCTTGTTTATTTGTTTTTAAAAAAAAGAGTCAGCATTTATCACATTGAACTCTGTCTTGGCTGAAATTATACTTTAAATGATTCTGGAGGATGTGGTGACTCATAAATTCAAAAGGAAAGAAAATACTACATGACAAGATATCCCTAAGATCTCACGTTTTACTGAAAATAGGTCCTATTTCAGCTCTGTGCAGCACTTGGCTGTTTGCTTTAATAAGTCCTTTGAAAGCCATAACTCCACTTGAAGTGTCTTGTCAGTTCAAAAGTGAATAAAATCAATTTGGTCAACACAGACCTATATTTATCTGTCTGACACAGAGCCAAAAGCATTTTCTGGCATCTAACAAACACAAATCTACTAAGGGATATAATTTTTGTGCTCCTGAGAGTTAATGATGATAATAATAATACCTCTACAAACAAGAAATAAAAGAGTGTGTTTGGGAGAACTTTTCTCCATTACTGAGGATTGAATATAGGAAAAATTATGTCCTTCTGTTAGAAGATCTCTGCTGGGATATAATTGCACTCGTCCAGCCGTTGCTCCGAGCATGGTTGGGCAGCCAGAGGGACTCCTCGTCATGTCAGTGACAGCAGCAGGAAACTCCCAAGACTGATTCTTCTCAGCCTCCCTTCTTAGGGTAGGTTGACTCACCCTTGGGAGGTGTTAATCTGCTGCTCGTAGAGGGTGTCTAAATGTGTAGATGACTAACCTTACCTTAAGGTGATTAAGCCAAAATGAGGCCATGGTGGGATCCATCTCCCCTACAATTCCAGTCTTCTGCAAGGATATCGGTATCTGAGCAAGTCGGCTGCCCTTGCATTACAGATTTCCATGGTAGGATTCATCTCGAGGAAGGCATCCGTAATGGAATCATGGAATTTTCAGAGTTGGAAGGGACCTCTAGAGATCGTCTAGTCCAACTCCCCTGATAAAGCAGGATTGCCTGGAGCACATTACTCAGGACTGCATCCAGACGGGTCTTGAAAATCTCCAGAGAAAGACCATAATGGGTCTGATGAATCACGCACTAGAAAGGCCCAGTGCTCTGCACTGTCTCTGAGGGCAGTTTAGACAGTCTACTCAGAGGTACATATCTGACATTCAGTGAGATAAACCCAACTCTAAATGCCAGAAATGCTCTCTGCATGACCATCCAGAGGACCTGTCATGCTCAAGCAGGCTCAGAGAAGGCAAAAGACAATGAAGGTCTCAGGACAAACGTTGACTGAGTATATTTGAAATAGCTGCATCCCTGCTTTGTGATTCTTTTGATCATGGTTTGCTCTCCAGCTCCCTGGTTTCACAAAGCACTTGCTACTCAGTGGTGATGGGATTAAAAAACAATTATATTGATCCCCTGATATGCAAATTTTTGGCTGAAGTTACATGTAAAGGAGCAGGAGTGAATCAGCTGCAATGCTGGTAAGAGATGGAAGCAATCCTGACTCCCAGCCTTGTGCTCTGACACGTGGCCATTAAGATTTCTCCAGGGCAAATGATTGCTATGTAGTGGCGAGTGCAGAATGCAGGGCAGAACGTGCCTAAACCCAGAGCTGAATCCAGGATAGATGCAGTCCCAAATTCCTGCAAGCTCTCTGCTGGAATTAGTTTGGTAGATGACTCTGCTCTGACTTTTGCAATATCCTATTACGGATCGGACATATGCCATGTTCAGCATTAACAAACTGTGAGAGTGGTTTTTTTGTTTGGTTGGGTTTTTTTGCAAACAGAGCAGTGGTAGATGATAAATGTGTTTAGTTTCCAAAAAAAAGAGAGTTTGACTCTCACTTTGGGTTCATGCTGAAGGCTGGGACTTGTCGGCCAGCCGTGATGAATAAGTCATTGGGACAGAGGTCACCAGGGGTCTGGGAGTAACGCACATTGTCTGTGGCCACACAGGTGTCACAACAAGGCCACCCTAAAGAATTTCAGAAGCTCAGGAAAGATGTTGGGCAGCCTTTTTGGTTTTTTTCCACTTGCTTATGTTGTAAAAGGGACCCTGGTCTTTTAGGATGTAAACTTTAAAAAACGAACAAAAACAAAAAAAACCAACCCTAACCTCCATTAGAAGTGTTACAGCAATTTATTACTGATGACAAAACATTTCAGAAATCACAGGCGCCCCTGAGGTATAAAAAAATCTGCCCTTTAAAAATGGCTTCTGCCTTCACGAGCCACCCGGCCCAGTGCCATTTCACCACCTGTCCTGGTGACATTTGCTTTGTGAAGGATCCTGCTCCGTGTTTGAACTCAGCAAGCCTCCAGGAAAAAGTGCTCCCAGCTCCAGTGGAAGCTGGTGCCCAGGAAAGACAGATGCTATTTTATTTTTCAGGAACCCGGGGTTAGATTAATCCCTGGCCGAATTCCACAGACGTCAGCGGGGATGCGCCGGGGGTGACTGTCTGATCCCATATATTGGCCAGTTCATTCACATTCCAGGGGTTGTTTATTCAAGCCGTATGTTTTGGAGTGCAACGCAAACCAAAGCACTTGTTTTGCAAGCGGTGTGTTTCGCGTCTGTGGAGTTTCACTGATGTAGCAAAGAAATAATGGTCCTTACTGGGATTTCTGTTCTCCGTGATGCTGGGAAGTTTATGTCTCATTTTGCCTGCTTTATTTGAAAGAGTGCATTGAATATATATTTGCAAGCTTGATGGGAATGAATTAAGCCTGCAGACAATGAGCTGCGTATATGGTTGCCTAAATCTGCATATGTGAGTAGTCAGCCCCATTTCACTGATAGAGACGGATTCACCTTATTCAGAGGTGCTCTGAACTTTGGGAAAACTGAATTTGAACCTAAGATTTAGCTGCACAACCGCCTGTCATACGGGGCAGGACAAGGGCGAGAAGTGCTTTCACGCTGCGGGAATGATCTCCGCTCAGTCCTGCAACGCAGACCAGTGCTGATAGTCAGAGAGGAACGCAGCTCGAATGGGATTTATGTGATTGACCCAGGTGCAAAACCGCTTTATGAGAGCCACGTGTTGGGTCGTGGAGTGAAGTTTCAACAAGTTGCTATTGGTTGCAGGATCCTGCATGCCTCTCCTCGGGAAGCTGTTTTCTCACCCTAAATTTATCCAGTGAGTATAGTTTACATCAGTGGCTCTGGTGGTTGTTTCTAGTGTACGGGGTGGTGAAGGGAGACTTTTGTCATAAGCACACAGCCCTGATATTTGTTCTCTCCCCAGTAAACATTCTCTCATTTCCTGAGATGAATATTACACAATCAGGAATCACTGTTTCCTTTTTTCTCCTTCTCACCTGCCTCCAATAACTTTGGAGCTTGTTTACCAGTTTTAATCCATCCTGAAGTTGTGGTACAAGCCTCAGAAATCCCCGAATTCCTGCTTGTGTAAATCAAAGCTGAGCAGGGGACAGAAACCTGAATTAGTCCTCCCACCTGGGGAAAGATTTTCTCCAGCGCGTGTCACATTCCAGGCTATGAGCTGCATGTGCTTTTTCAGCTGGCTGGGATGAGGGGAAGGCTGGGATTATTGGAAGTAAGAGCAGGGTCTTTAGGAGACAGGAGTTGCAGGTCTGCTGCTCACACGGCTGCTTTTCACGGGTTGAAAATCTGCAGAGGGTGACTGTGAAATAGAATCGATCTTGAGTAAGCGTCCAAGCCTTTTGCAGGGCTGTATGAAATAAAATGGGCTGTATGAAATAAAGCCAGCTGAGTTTCTTTTCAGAGAGAACTAACTAGAGATAACTCTCCGCAAGCTAATGCTAAGCCCCAGACACACCCATTTTTTTACCCATCACCTTTTTAAGATGCATTTGCTGTGGAAGAAGAAGAATTACTGCCTGAGGAAGAAGGGCAGGAAAAGTTTGCTAGGTTGAAATCTCGACATCGCTGTGGATGTGGTTGCGGGTCTGCCAGACAGTTCACGTATGAGTTAGCTGAGTTGGCTGAGGTGTAGCCATCCTGAGTTAGCTGAGGTGTAGCCACTGACTGGACATGCCCTCCAGCTGAACCTTCATCACAAAGTGCACCCAGCTTTTAGGGGGACTGAAGCAAACCTGAAATGATGAATCATGTAGCTGGTTATCTGTGATGAGATTCACCTGCTTAGATGTATCTGTGGTATCAGAGTCTGCATCTGAGATCTACTCAATAGGGTTAATGGAGTCAAGGGTGGAAATTGTCTTTTCTAAGGTAGATGTCTGTATTTGGTCAAATGAAGACACCCGAACTCCATTGATTTATATTGAATATATCCTCTTCACTGGCTCTGAGTGGAGCCAATGCTCAGACAGCTCAGATACGGGCATACACATTGTAGACACCTAAAGTTAAGTGAAATTAATCCCATCCTAAGTTTCACTTCACATAGTAACCTCCTAAGACACTCTAACATGGTCCATTAGACACCATGCCAGGAGAGAGACCTTAAAGTGGGTAAATAACACACATCTGTCTCAGGAACTGTAGAGTGGTGGCCTTAGTGCAGATGAGAAGCAAATCCAGTCAATCCAAACTGCTTCTTGTTGACAGAAAATGGTCAAGTGTATGTGCAGAAGAAGCCCACCATGTACCCACCCTGGAACAGCACTTTCGACGCCCACATCAACAACGGCAGGGTCATGCACATCGTTGTCAAGGACAAAAGTGCCGAAATGGTTTCAGAGACCACGGTGGAACTTAAGGTGCTGGCGGAGAGGTGCAAAAAGAGCAATGGGAAGACGGAGATATGGGTGAGCTTCGTTACCTCCTCTTGCAGGATGTGATGGGGAGCTGCTGTGGGGTGGGGAAATGCCTTGTGTCCATGCCAGGCTGTGACTGTAACCAGCAGGGCAGCAGGAACTGTCTGTCGTCCAAAGAATAATGTTTTCAGTCTACTTGGGTGTGACTTGAAGGAAAGACTTCCATTCATATCAGAAAAGAAAAGAAGAGCATGGCACATTTATATTACCTGCTGCTGTTATATTGAAACATATGCTCTCTGTTAGCAAGGATTGTGGTTCATGCGCCCACGTATTCATCTTCGCTTAGGAAACCCATTGGGGACAATTGGTAATATGAGTGGCTAAATGTGAATTATTTTATGTGCTCTGGGGAAACAGCTTTAAAAATTTAATCTGCTATCAAGTACCTGATTCACAGCTGCCTGACTTAAGAGTTATGCCAGAGCAACTCCTTTAAAATCACTGGAGTTATAGTGGAGTAAATTTGGAGTAACGGTCTTCGTAAGGATGCCAAATGTAAGGTTGTATTCCCTGGTAGTCCAAGCAAGAAAGTTCTTGATAATAGTCTTTAACATGTAGTATTCTGTAGCCATGTCATGACTAACAATAAAGTGGAAAGACATTTGGAAAGAAACTGATTCCCTCGAATTTTTTGTTTGTTTGTTTTATTTCTCATGCCAGTTCTGAGGCTAAGCTGCATGGGTTAAGCAGATAGTAGAAAAGTCAAAAAGGCCTTCATCACTAAAAGCAAGATTTGGTAGAGATTCGCATATTTAACACATAACTTAGAAGCAACTGAGATACTTAGGAATGGAATTGAAAGCCAAAAGGCTCTGTTCAGCATCCCTCCAACCCCAGGCTTCAGAGCCATGGGAGGCAGCAACCCAGTGAAGAGGAGAGGGGGCACGTAGGCTGGAGTGCTGCTTGCTTACACCAAGAGTAACAGACCTAAGGTCAAACGGAGTTGGGATATCCCAGTCCTGTCGCGTCCCAGCCTTTTAGTGGCTTCTGAGATCTTCTCTCCACTTACTGCCCAGTATAAGTCACGACCTGGGGAGGTTGGTCCTACATATCCCATCCTGCAAGGGTCAGAAGGGGAGAGAATAACATTTTTCTTGCTTTTATGTGCATGGGAAGTGCTTCACCTGGAAGGTGGAGGTGACCTTGCTCAGGCTGTGCTGGAAGTGGGTGAGGGAAGGCACAATTGTGGTTCCCAGGCTGAAGAATTCCTTGAATGCAGATCTCCTTATTCCTAGGCAAGTGGATACAGATTTACAAAGTCACCTATGGATGGAGGTTCAGATAGGTGGGAATTTCCAGGTCCCAGAAATGCCTGAGTAAGCTTGTAATGCCATTCACATTGACTGTAATGGAAGCAAGATTCGCAGAACCAAGCTTCTAAGAGATTTCAGCATCATTTAAGTACCTAAATTGGCTGGTTTTTTTCAAGGTGGTCCCACTTCCCCATTGCAAGATCCACTGGGAATGACAAGTTGTCTCCATAGATAATGCTGGTCCTGAGCTGGGGTCTAAAAACGTGCATACAGCTTCTGTGGTTTAGTCACATTTATTGTCTCCAAGAGTTTGATAAGAGGTGATCTAGCCTCCTCTCTCTACAGTTGCTCCTATTCTGCCTTGCTGTCCCACAAGGGTATGAGCAACCCAAAAATTACATTTTAATGGCATTCAAAAAAAAATTCCTGCTGGGGAAAGGAGATAGCTTGAGTCATCTGAAATGGTTGTTGCTTCTTTGAATGACTGTTTAATGATTGCACTGGTCTTTTTTTCTTGTTTTTCGCTTATCTCAACCAGCTAGAACTGAAACCTCAAGGCCGAATGCTGATGAATGCAAGATACTTCCTGGAAATAAGTGGCAAGTGATTTTGTTTGTTAATTGATAGGCGTGATTTCTGGTTATGTGGGGCAGACATGGTGTCTTCACTGAAAGCAGTGCCTATGTTATTACTGATTTATTCATAGGAACTATCATAATGGTTTGAAGTGAACGCTCCAGAAAAGCAATTTTTATTCTATGGTGGGGATGAAGGTTGACTGTTCCTCTGTGATTTGCAAGGCAGATTTTGGTAGATTTTCTCATTACTCAAAGTAAGACAGAATATATACTCAGGCTCCCTCTGAAATCATTCTAATTGTATGTATGCATGTAACATGTGCCACGGCGTGTGTTATAGGGCAGATGTAAAGGCTGGGATATAATTTATGGTTGACAACACCTGAGTATATGTGTTAGTTGGTCTTTTAAGATCAAGAACAACCTAGGCAAAACAGGAGAAGAACCTAGAGAGTGATTCATCTGATCAAATGCAGGTTTGTGCTCCAAGGTGAGCTGAGTCATTCACTGGGCTCCACTGCCTGGTCCAGCCAGACCTCCAGGGACATGGCAGCAGCTTAGTCACCTGCAGAGTCTATGTCCACGAGCAATACATTTTGCTTTGTTGAAGAAAATGGGTTGCAATCCAAATGCTCAGTCGTATTCTTCTGTCTTTGATGCCCAAGTTCCTGCTGCCTTTCACAGACACGGGGTGAACTGTAAGGTGTAGATATCTAGAAGGACCTTCAATTTTTAGAAACATAGAAGTACTGAAAGCAGCTAATAGCATGTCCATACTGATAGTTCCTTCATCTCTTCCTAATTTTAATATAGAATAGACTATTGTTGCCTCCTTGTACGTTAGAAGATATCAGAGAGGCCGAAGAATAGAAAATGCAAGTTGTGTGTGTATTAAAAACAGCAAGATCAGCATCAGATCACACAGGGGGCAGTTTCCACAGAATACCTATGTAACTCGCTGCATAACGCATGAGTAAAACAAAACAGAGACTGGGAGTGAGATATTGTGTGCATATCTAGATTTGTAGACACAAGCACATATATAAGCGCACATGTGTATGTGTAGTCAGAATTGGTTTGTTTGCTGTTCTAAAAAGTTTAAATGTGAGCAATGGCATTGGTGCAGCAAACAACAAAGCAATTGTTGGCATGGAAAAATAACAAGAAAAAGAAAATCCTAAGAACATACATACGTGCTTACTCACACACACATACATGCACTCATAAAGGATTCCGTTAAATACCCACATATATATATACACACATGTGCGTTTGTGTGCATATACAGATAGTTATTAAATTTTATGTAATTACATCTTTTTTAGGGCATGGTTCTTCACTGCTATATGAAGTTAGAATTATATGTTTAACTGCAAATTATCTCTCGTTGGGAAATTTCTGGTCTACATTTCAAAAGCAGCATTATGAATATTCAAGGGAGCTCAGAGTCCCAAGTTTAAAGTAATTTTAGTGCCCCTGTAGGAACAATAGATAAAAAAAAGAAAATCCAAATGAGCCTTGTGTGGATTTCAGAAAACTGTATTTCTTAAAAATATTTATTCCCAGGAGTGAATCATCAGCTTCAGTCACTTAGTGGTTTGGCAGCTGCATTTTCTCAAGGTGCCTGATCAGGACAAGGTATCCTAATAAATCTGCTCTTTCCTCTCCCCCAGACGCAAAGGACCTGGCTGACTGTGAGACTGAAGGCTTTTTCTCCTTGCACCAGCGCAGGGGAGCCATCAAACAGGCCAAAATCCATAATGTCAAGTGTCATGAGTTCACGGCCACCTTTTTTCCACAACCCACCTTCTGCTCTGTCTGTCATGAGTTTGTATGGTAAATGAAATCAGATCTACGCATTTTCCCCTTTTAGCTCTAGGGACCAGTTCTGCTTCTCCAGTGATTATCTGTGCTTCTGCTGTCGGCAAAGGCAGCAGGACCGAACCCTTGTCATCTTACATGTGGAGTTATGGCATTACTTGTAATTCCAACTGTGAAAATTCCTCTTATTTTTTAGTTTATTTTTTATAAATATTTTTGGGTTTGGCCAAACGCACGGACATTTTTCATCAGCCCAGTTTGCTATTTGGATATTGTGAAACTCAGAATGTGAATGTGTGCTGAAAAGGCTGTGAAAACCACAGAGAATCACTCCAGTTTTAGATTGAATGAAGATACTTAGATTAGAGAAGCTCTATACAGACTGTATATAAAGCTGTTTTATTCTGTTTCTTTCATACATGTTGCTCTCCTTTCTTCTGTGGAGGCTTTCAGAAAATTCAGTTAACTTTCTCTGTTTATTTCAGGGGTCTGAATAAACAAGGCTATCAATGCAGACGTAAGAAACCTTTTTTTTTCTTGTTACTATCATTTTTCACTTAATCTTTTCTTAACGCATTTTTTATTAACACCGTGACACATTTGTTCTTTCAGAATGTAACGCTGCCATTCATAAGAAGTGCATTGATAAAGTAATAGCCAAGTGTACAGGATCAGCAATCAATAGCAGGGAAACAATGGTATGTATTATTATTTCGCTGCTTTTAAAAAGCTTGGGTGTCATTCAGATCTCTCCTACATCACTGTAAAACAACTTCTGATGAAGCAAAAAGTGCTACTGAACTAAAAGCTGTGTGATCTGATCTATGCCCTTTGTTTTTTATGTTCCTAGTGGTTTCATTACCTCCTACTTGTGATTTACTCGAATGCAGCCGCTGAATAAGCAATTGCTGAATCAGGACTGACATTTTTCTAATGTATGAAGTATAGCTCAGAGGGAAGTCATGGACATGAGGTGGAGATTTACTGGAAGAAATTCCTCACTGTCTGGTCTCAGGCAGGACATCACACTGAGTTTTCAAAGCAGTACTTTAACATCCCACTCTGTGTTATCTGAGATTTCCAAACAGTCAGTGGAAGATCTAGCACATCCACTATTATTTATTGTATTTTTCTCGTATCAGTTTATAATAAACCTTCATTTTTCGGTGCGCAAAAGTGGAAATTTGAGTCTTGGTGGGACTATTCACTGTTTCTTAATTGTGTCCCACAGCTTCTCTTTGCTTCCAGTCCCATCCTGGACCCTGTTCTCCTTTTACAGTCTTTAGAGATGAGATTCATCTCACCTGTCTTCTGACATCTGCAGGGTAGATGTATCCAACTTTGTCATCACCTTTGACTCTCTATATACTAAAAGAAGAAAAATAGGTTCTTCCAAAGAGTGACTGATGACAACAAATGTTGACATCCTTTTCAGGATGGGATGAATAATTTTTAGATGTACCACTATTTTTCTGTTGAGTGTTAAGGGAGTCTGGGTGCACAGCTGAGATACAAGCAGCTATCTGGTCAGATAAATAAAGACCAGGTATTAAATTACCCAGTTCCCACTGAATTGCACAGGTATTATGTATCAATATTTGGCTTTGTATATCTGAATGATAGTTTTAGATAGTTTTTTTCCTGATGGTCATACCCAAGGATAAAAGGTCAGTAGACATCCTGTCTTCTGTGGTACAAGCCTGGGTGCTGTTAGTTTTCCATCCAGAGCTGAGGTGGAGAGGGGTGAATTGCCAACATGGCTTTTGTTTTGCAGTAAAAGAGCGGTCCAAGATCGACATGCCTCACCGCTTCAAAGTCTACAACTACAAGAGCCCAACTTTCTGTGATCACTGCGGCACACTCCTCTGGGGCCTTGCACGGCAAGGACTGAAGTGTGATGGTGAGTGCCCAATATATGTGGCATGAGCTAAGCACGGGAGCGAGCCATTGTCTTTAGAGGGTTGCAAGCTGAAGATCCAAATCTCATTTATCACACCTCTCTACAAGACCTGTATGAGATGGCATCTGGGGTGGTAAAGGAGTGGTCAAAAGGACCATCCTTCAAGGAGGATCATTCTTCAAGGAGGACAACTGTCAGTATACAGAAAGTTATGTGGCCCGCGAGGCTGAATGGTCACTTCCCAGAGAGGCAAAGAACATCTCAGTGACACCGCTGACCTTCCAAAATGACTCCTCGTATCAACTTGCATGCTCTATTTCCACTACCAGAGAGGCCCAAGACACTTCACCATCTTCATAATCCTATACCAACTGGGAGATCCTATTTTGTGATTGTGGTTCTGTGATTATGATTCTGACACCTTTTACTCTTTCTTTCAGCATGCAGCATGAACGTCCATCACAAGTGCCAGACAAAAGTAGCAAACCTTTGTGGAGTTAACCAGAAATTAATGGCTGAAGCTCTGGCAATGATAGAGAGCACCCAGCAGGTAAATACTTTAGGCCTTGAGTGACCTGGAGGAAGGAGGATCAACTGTTCAATGTTTGTTTCACTGCAAGAAATAAGGGCATTGAGTGGAGCACTGTGGGTAGCAAGTTCAAAGTAAAAATTAGGAAACGGGTTCTTTATGGAATAGGTAGTTAAGCTCATCTCAGCACTTTGTGGAAGCCAAAAGTTTTCATGGGTTCAAGTGACAATCTCCAGTGTTCATAGAAGAGAAACCCCTTTGGGAATAATAGAATGATTAATTCTATTAATAGAAAAGCACCGCCTTTGAATCCAGAAATCTTTGTGGAGACAGGGAGAATATTCTGAGGAGGTGACCTTGCATGCCTTCACTCTTCTTATATTTTTACCTGGTGTCTGTTTGACCCCTATTGCAGACAGGACATGACCTGGATGGACTCTTGCTCTGATCCAGAACAGTTGTAGTTACAGTTAGTTAGTTATATTGTGTTCATAACTGAGGTTGTGTAACAGCGTCCAAGGCAGAGTGAGAGGAACTTGGTTTAAGTCCTTTTGCTGTCACTGCCTTGCTCCGTGCTTGTGACTTAGCAATTTGTCCTGTGACTCTGATCTGTTTGGAATAAAACTCCCCAGAGCACAGACTCTCATGAAGAGACCTGGGCCCTGGGGAAAGGATCTAGATACTACTGTCATATAAACAACACCCTATGAACACAGATAATAATTGAATTAAAACAAAGAAAAATAGTTTGTTGCAAGCCCACAACCATAAAAGAATTTAGAGATTCTAATTCAAAATCAGGATTGTTAGGATGCCTCTCAGCTCCTGAGTAACCTCAAAGAGGGACAAAATCTGTAGGTACCTACTTCTCCATATTTAGGTTACTCAGTATCTCAAAGCAACACCTTTATGCGTACAGCAGGTGTTTTTCCATCTATACCTTCCTGAGGAGCTATCTACGAGGTTTAACTCTGCATATTTCTTACCTTTATGTGATAGGCAGTGCTGCCAAACCTCCAAAGAGGACTGTTTTCTGCTCTCGCTTCTCTGTTTCCTACCTGCTGTCTTCCTACAGCTCCTTGAACTGTATACTTGGAGTCCCCATTGAGAGGTGAATCATAGAATCAGAGAATGGTTTAGATTGGAAAGGACCTTGAAGATCATCAAGTTCCGACCCCCCTGTCATGGGCGGGAACACCTCCCACTAGACCAGGTTGCCCAAGGCCACATGAAGAGGGCAAACACTAGCTACTTTCCCCACAATACTCTTCTAATCTCCAGAAATTTAGGCTTGGGGACTTCTTGAGCCACAGGTGGAGTCTTAGTGTTTAGTAGCCCTCAGAGGCTTTATCTTCCGTGCTTTTGTCTCTTTACTCTCGAATCCAGACACACTCACCATCTGCAACCTGGTGCAAGGAGTTCTTCAGAGTGACATCCAGACACTGCAGGGATGAGGCTGCAACATGTTCCAGCCTCTAGTATTTTTCCAGATTTCTCTTCAAAGAGGACTATTGGGAAGGAAGTTGGTAAATAAAATGTCCTTTGTGTGGATAACCGGAGACTCAGACCCCTGTGCAAAATAGGGGATCTCTATATTGGCAGTACAAAGACCTGTTAACACCCACACACCTCTCACAGAAGGCTGTGGGTTCCTCTAGGTTACCAAACCCCTAAACGTTAGGTACAAAGATGCTTTCCTCATAAGCAAAGACCTCTGCTAGATCTTGGCTTCTGTGACAGTCACACTCAGGAAGTCACAGTGTCCATAAACTCAGAACATGGCATTTGGCTCAAAAGTCGTTTGATGTTTTCTGTGATCCAGGCTCGCTGTCAGCGTGACACTGAACAGATCTCCAGGGATGGACCTCTTGAAATTGGCTTCCCAGTTCCCGTGAAGGAGGTAAAACCACTTCAGGCATTGCCAGCATCTACAACAGGAAAAAAAGGTAGTTTCCCCTAGTGATATGGGACAGTAATTTTTTGGTTTGTACATGATTAGGTGGAGGTGGCAAGGATGGGGAATTTATCAGCCATTGAATCTTTCATGCATCTTATCAGCCTAGAACAAGTCATACCCTTTTCATCCCAGGATACCAACAACTCTTCCCAGCCACATCACTTGGGCATGGCAGATACCCTAGATCTTACCCTGGTTCCTTTGCTTTCTATAAACCAGCACTTCCCTCATGCCATCCCAACCTCTGGTGACATGAGACACCAACCACCACTCATTCAGCTAACTCCTAAACCCTCTTTCTGACCTGCTGCTTGAGTACACCTCATACCTCCACTGGCAATAATGTATTTATTCCTTTCTTGGGACTCATAGACTATAAAATCTGAGAAAACAAGCTCTAAACAGGAGATTGGGAGTACTGGGTTTACATCCAGTACCTTTGAAAACCATTGACAGATCCCCACTTTATTCACCCAGGAGCTGATCTAAATGTCATGGACCTCTGTGCTACAAGAGAAGACATTCAGGAGGGTGACTGAGAGATCAGGGAAGAGCATTGATTAGCAGACCTTGGACAAAGCTACTGGGGGTTCACCGGCCTTAAACAAAATTTACAGTCCCCTGGGGAGATCCCTTGTTTGTCTACTTTGTGCTTGAGTCACAGAACTCTGGATATTGGGAGCAAAAATGTCACCATCTTTCATTAGACCCATGTGGCCCATTTAAAAGGCCATTTCGTTCCAGCTTCATGGTTCATGGTGCCCCTCCAAGAACTGTACTGTAACTGCAGCAGACCTATGGTGGCACTGACACAATGCTTTTCTGCCTCCCACAAGCTCTAAAATGCTTCTGTCAGAAAGGGGAGGGAAAAAAGAATACAAGTGAATCAATACTTAAACCTAGCAAGGACTGGAACAGTGAGTCCTCAGCTCCAACCTTAACCAAAGGTCAAGCTGAAACTCCAGGCTCCACCATCATCCACTTTCTCAGTGCAAATTAATGCTGCCCTCTGTGCAGATAATATCCTGGAAACTGGACCTAGCGCAAAATGTCAGAAGGCACTGGTTAAAGCACAACAGAGCCACATTGTACCAGTGCTCTGGGTTTGATACTGCGCAGCACCAGTCTCCTGAGCCTCAAAGGCTGGTTTTGGTACCATCTGAGCTAAGGGGGCAGTGCCCTTTGGGCCCCAAGAGGAAATAAACTATGACCCCATATGTGCTTTTTTCCTTTCTTTTCTACAAGTAGAACTGGCTACGCTGATGTGAATCTGTAAAGCCCAAAATGGTTTCACATCTGGTTTACCTGCGGGTCTGTTTTTCTGCTGAGTAGTGGGTTTGCTGTTCAGCAATTTAGGACATCACAGCAACTGCGCACTTGAGCACATTGGATATATCCAGTAAGAGACAGGATCTCTTAGAGGTTCACATACATCCAAGTGAATGGAGTATTGAAGAAACCCTGAGTAGTTCCACTCCAGGACAGGGGGAGTACTTGGTCAGAGCTTCACATCCAGAGTAGGGAACTAATACAAAAATGCTGTCACATCTGTTTCACGTTAGCTTTGCCAAGAGTCTTGAAAAGGCCTTGAAAAAATGGGACCACATCATAAGGGCAACCAACAAGTAGGAATGAAGAACACAGGTGGCCAGAAATGAAGGGTTTGGTCATATTTCATTGCCATAGAACAGAAAGACAGATGAAGGAGTTCGTAAAGTGGGAACCCATCTACTTAGTAGATGTGGCCACCACATTTCCATTTATTTGAAATAGCCTTTTAAAGCTCTAAACACAATACCTGTAAGCATTCTGGGGATTCTCTGCTCATTTCCAGGTGTTTATGTGAATGCTTTGATGTGTGTTGCAGAGCCACAGGGCATCTCCTGGGAGACTCCGGTGGAGGGCACAGTGAAGGGGGAGTCTCTAATAGAGTCAGATTTTGGAGAACAACCCCAGGAGCAAGAAGAGCACCAAGTGCATCTAAAACTAACCATTGAAGATTTTGTCCTGCACAAGATGCTGGGGAAGGGCAGTTTTGGCAAGGTAAGCCTCAGGGGGCTAGATGCCACTGCATAGCTCTACATATTGCATATTATGGCACTAATAACATGTGGTTTGAAGGCCACTTCGGAAAAAACATCTCCAAGCCCTCAAAGAACCTTTGCTGTGGCATGGCTGAGTCTTGAACCCAGTCGTCTTCTCGCCTAAGACAAAGATTCTCCCTGCCTTTCCCTCTGCCCCATGAGTTTGCTGTCTCATGAGCGCCTATGACAAGAGAGGAAAACAGCTGAGTGAAACCTGTGCAGGTTGACAGAGTCTGGGCATCCACAGAGAGCTGGTGCTAGGAAAGTTCTCTGTGCTATGCCCCATCATGCAGCTACTCCTGCTAGCTTAACTGAGCAAGCTCAGAGGGAGACAGAAGCATTAGCTGAAAAGTTGGGTGTGGATCATCACCCCTCTCTAGAACAGCAGGTCCCCAGCTGGGAACACTGACTGCTCTTTCCCAGCTCCAATCTCTGTTGGAGCGTAAAGCGAAGTTTGCAACAGCCAAGAATTTGTGCTTTTGAAACAAGAACCACCTGTTTTCAGTGGATTCATTAATCTTGATGAATTGTGGATTGTTCCTCCTTCTTGCAGATGTCCCCTGGAAGGGGATTCATGTTACTCAGTGCCAGCACAGAGCTGCATGAAGCAATTTCAGAGGAACACACCATTGTGTTTTCACAGCCAAGAAGGAGAATGAGTATCATTATGTATCACGTTGCTCAGATCTCAAACCTTTCAAGGTGGAAACTGTGCCTTAAAGAAAGGGCTGCTTTTTGCCTGCTAAGTGAGCTGGAGCGATTGCTGCAGCCAATTCTTAAACTGGTGAAATATTTGCTGTGTTGGCTTTCCAATGCTTGAAAACATTTGGCATGTCTACACTTTTTGCCTGGGAAGCAGCGTTGAGACATCTGAGTTAGACCTAAGCCAAAATACCCCAAACTCCGGAGCCCAGACTAACCTGGACTCAAGAGCATAGCTATCATAGAAACATTTCCATTGGAAGGAAGGGACCTCTGGAGGTCATCTAGTCTAAGCTGCTGCTCAAAACAGGTCTAATCAGATAAGGTTGCTCAGGGGCTTGTCTAGTCAAGTCTTGAATACCTCCATGGAAGCAGATTCTATACCTTGCTTCAGCTCCCTGGGTTAACATGGACTTTCCGAGCTTGCAGACATCTGCATCTCTCTGCAGTGCACCGTGTGGGTGTGGAAAAGATGGGCTATTTCATGCCCTTCTGCAACAAACCTCACCCACAAGTTTCCTGTGTAGGTGTTGCTCCTGGTGCCCTTATTTGCTTGGAGCGAGATTCACTTCCCCATAGAGGGGACAGGGTGTGTGCATCTCAGTGCCTGAGGGGTCTCTCCAGCTCTGCACAGATCAGGGAGCTTGAGGGCCAGACCCATGAGGAAGTCCCCTCTGCGTGAGGTCTAACGTTGCCTACCTGCACCTTGGAAGTTACAGCACAAGTCACAAATATACTGCTTTCCCCAGTTTCCCCAGGAGTGCAGTGCCCTGCACAAAAACGAGGGTAAAAAGGGTGTCTGCAACATCAGCACTGTTAGCATCTCTGGTCATTCACGGGAGAGACAGAGGGAGGCTCTAGGCTCTACGCTCTGTCTAGTGCTACAAAGTGAAATGCAGCAGTAGCCAAAAGGGTAAATAAAACTTTTGTCAGGGCTAAAACATGTCTGAGCTTACTCAGTAAATAGTGTCTGGTAGAGCACTTCAAAGACCTCTTTGATGAGTCTTACATATTTATTCAGTCAATGGGAAACAGTGTTGACAGGCTGTTAACATAAAGATCAGGACCGGCACTGCCTTCCAGCAGAGACTTCTTTGCTCTGTGGTCTCTAGAAAACCCTTCGCTTCTCCATGTCTCATTTTCCCTGCCCATAAAAACAGACAGAGGTCCTAACTCCTCTGGTATGTGTTTTTCTCTTCTCAGAGAAGAAGTCCTGCAGAAGGACAGGGGATCCAGCCTGTCTGCTCAGGCATCCTGCTAACTGGGAGGAAGGGGAGAAAGTCACATCTGATACAGATCAGTCTAACGATGGGTAGACATCGGTTTACACCTGCTGAGGATCTGGTGCAGGGCATTTGCATTTCTCATGTTGACAAAGCAATATTCTGTGTTTTGTTATTTAAAGTCATAAAACAGGAAATGTATCTCGTAAGCATTTGCATAAAGATGGTTTCTGTTGTCAGAAGTGTTTGGGCCCCTGACATGTCCTGTCCATACGGGCATGTAGCCCCTGCTCTTGTAATCGCCATTTCCATTCTCACCCTTCGCTGGGATTCAGCTTCATAAAACTGTTCTGGGTGTGGGGAATAAACTCAAAGTCTACAAAGTCTTAATGGCAGAATTGTGCCTTAAACATCAGCATTTTTAAGGTCTACCCTAGTGAATTCTACAGAGCTCAGCTCCCATCCTCACGTGGCTGTGCTGCCAGCTCTGAGAGAAGATCATTGCTCTTTCTGAGCAGCTGTTTCCACCCTAGGTGTTCCTTGCAGAGCTGAAGAGCACAGACCAGTATTTTGCCGTGAAAGCCCTGAAGAAGGATGTGGTGCTGATGGATGATGATGTCGAATGTACAATGGTAGAGAAGAGAGTCCTTTCCCTAGCTTGGGAGCACCCATTCCTGACTCATGTCTTCTGTACGTTCCAGACCAAGGTAAGACAGGTTCTGTCACCTTCTGCCATGAGGTGAAGACGCTTTGCTGAGATACAGATACTTGGTGAAGTGCATAAGTCTTCTAGGTGTTAGGGTATAGCTTGGACATGAGGTGGTGCTAAGGGAAGGGATGTTCAGGTTAACCACTTGGGAATGGCTCCAGAAATTTCATCTACCTTCCTCACATTAACCTGGAGGGTGCATTTGAGGATTATGGCATCCCAGACTGATGGAAGTGCCTATGCAGACACCCACTGTTAAAATCTGCATCCTGGTACTCTGGGCTGAGGATGTGTAAAGGCCACATCCACAGGCAGGGTGCAGATGTGCCCACACTGATGTTATCTGAACCTCTTGGATCATGAAGCAGTATGCTGCAGTGACCAGCCTGGATCAGAGCTAACTCAAGAAATTCTGGTTATGAAGAATAAACATACTGTCATTAACTTTAGGAATCTTCTTTCCCTCCAATTACTGTTAAATTGCATCAGACTCTTCCTAATTCATACAGGACCACTGATGGTGAAGGCTGCAGTTCAGCGGGGCACCACAAAGCATCTTCACCTGAAATCTCACTTAGGACTCCAAAATTGAAGTGATATTTAAGTAAAATATATATCTTCATGGCCCTACATGGCAACAAACCACCAATAGATTAGCTTTCCAGAGCCTTGTCCACAGCCACAACCAATCATCTTAACACTAAAGCACACACAAGGCATAGAAAAAAATGATGGAAGGAAATTTGAGAGATTGTCTTGTCTGTCCAACCTACCCAAACCACTCCTGAGAGATGTTTGCTATCCCAAAGCTCAAATTCAGAGGAACGTCACTCTCTTGAGGCTGCTTGTTCAGGGTTTTGTTAGGATGCTCCCGGTCCCCGCTCAGCCCCGGGATTTAGTGATACAAAATAGCGCTCAGTGTGAGGTTAGGACCTGCTCAGCAAGAGGCTTGCTGCTTCTGCAGGGTTAGGAGAAATAAATATAACCTCTGAGGTATATACCAGCCACCCGTGGGATGCAGCACCTGTTTAAAGACAGACTAAATTTATAACAGGGAACGTCTGGGAACTGCCATAGGCGATGTGACACTAAGCCCAGGCGTTCGTGTTTAACCCCTTTCAGGACTGTCGGTGAGGAGAGCACGTCCTGGGAATGCAACTTTGCCTGGAGAGGAAAGGCATTAATTCCCTTTTTTGGGGGCTAGATTTCAGAGGAAAATATAAGTGACCCAACTCCAAAAGCAAAGAAAATCAAGATTTAATTAAAAAAGACAAAATACAACAGTCACAGCTCTACAAGGGAGCTTATACTCCAGGGAGAGCTGCATGTGCTGCCTGTAACTCTGGGTGCCCAAGGGGGTGTTGACTGATGCCAGCGGCTGACCAGCAGAACTGTCTTATCTGTGGTCCAGCCCTGGTCCAACCCTGGTCTGGAAGCTGGAGGTCAGGTTTGGGACGGATGCAGCGGTGGCAGCCTGCAGTTGTGGTTTCGGGCAGTGCTTGCATGCAAGTGTTCACTTTTCTCCTGAGATCACAACAAGAAGATGACAGACCAAATGGAGTCATGCCAGGAGCCAGATGGGATTTACTGACCATTTAGGGTGGGACTGTGCTTCCAGCTGTGGCTGAGGCAAGGAAAACCTGCAGGATGGAAAAGCAATGAGTGCCTAAAAAAAACCATGGGTGTCAGGCTCAAAAACCCAAGTGGTCTTTTCCTGCACGGTCTTATGGGCAGCACTGGAATATTGCCCTCTTAACATATAGAAAGCACCTCCATCCATCTCATCCCAAGTCAACATAGCCACTCTAAAGTTATTTAATCTCTCCCTTTTGCCCTCAAGTGCACAGATACAGAAGCTGGAACGTGGCTGCCCAGACCAAAGTCACTCTGGGCTGTGATTGATTTCTCGCTTATGGTTTTCTCCTCCAACCTTTGCAAGCCAAGCAGCAATCACTCAACGCGTGAAAGTCATTCAGAGCAGGAGAGCTGTGACAAGACATGGACAGTCTTTCACGGCTCAAAGGACAGCATGGTTCAGGTGTAATATTTTAGAGCAATCATTTTAGAAGCCAGGCCACTGCTGTGTAATCCCTCTCTGGACTTTAATATTGAAAACGTGGATTTTCAATTGAAAATTTGGTGGGTTTTTTTAAGGCATCATTGGATAGATAAGTATTTTCAAACAGAAATACATCTGTCAATGCCTTTCTGAATCTCTAACGCTTTGGCTTGCAAGGTTTCTGAGCTGCTTCAGTTACTGAATGCCTCTGCAAAGGACAGTAAAACCAGGAATATTCCTACATTGAAACAAGAACCTCAGTAGTTCCCATGTCTCCAGAGGGAAAAAAAAAAGTCATTTAATCTGTTGACAGTCCTCTGAGCTCTGGGATGAGTTTCTTCTTGGCCTCAACCCAGGTAATCAGTGAATGCTGAAATATATAAAGCTTGACAGCCCTTCAGACAGGTTTTTGTAGGCACCGGGCACCTAATGCTCCTTTTTATTCCTGCGGAGGCTGAATCATCAGTGCTTTCAAAACTCAGAATACTTGTCATGTTTTGCTACATGAGAATAAATTTGAATGCATAGGGTTTTTTTTCCCAAACTGCTTTTGAACTTCACTGTTTTATTTTACTGCAGTAATCTTTGTATCCAGATATTCAGCAGAGATAATTATATGGTGTGAATTTTAACAACAAGCTCGGAGAGCTATTCTGTTTATTAGATTTAAAGGGACACCGTTATGCTAAAGAGGAGGAAAAACATGTTTATTATTCTGTGAAATCCCAAAATCAGTAATGCCAAAACAGTGAATAGCGTTCCAGTGCTTATGTTTTATTCTTCTTTTGCATTTCACTGATCTGTGATAAAAATAGTCTTTCCCTTTTTGAAAGTCACTTTTGTTGCTAACTGTTTCTGTACTTCAGTGACCAAGTTTTTATTCACACCCTTTACCTAAATGCAAATTAAGTCTTGAGGCATTTTGGCTTGCAGCACAAAATAGCAACACAGAAGATTATCTCAACCCAAACGAGAAGTAATCTTCATTGCAATTTAAAAGCAAATGTTACAGAAACATTTCTTTTCTGCTTTACTAATGTATTATATCTTTTCAAAGTCCTGGTGGTGAGCCATTTTCACATGCTCTGTTGTTTTAACGTGCTTAATACTGACTTTAAAATCTCTGAGGCTGGCAGGAAGGAGAAAAGTATTGTAATTAAGGAGTGTGATCCTAATTTAAAAATTCTTAGGCTCTGAAGTGTTTTCCATGAGTATTTTCAGGAAACTTCTCATTAAAATATCTCCTCGGACGAAATTGCAATTCCTGCAAAATTTTCCAGGGGCAATTTCACTTTTCTTCTATCTTTGTCTTGCCATTAGAGGGACAGGACTGAATTATTTGACCTGAATCACAGCGCGTGGGTTGGCGCATGCGGGTTTCACACCCATTCAATGTTCAGCTCCATTGCGTGGCTGTGCCAGGGACCCTCTGAGCAGCCCTGAATCAGGCCCGCTTGCCCTCCCCAGGCAACGCAGGTTCCTCTCTGACCACAGCATGGCTGCAGGATGCTGATGCATTGCAGGAGAAGTCATCCTGCAGGGAAGTGAGG